TTTATTTGAGAGAGAGAGAGAGACAGCAGGAATGGGGGTGAGGAGGGCAGAGGGAGAGGGAGAAGCAGACTCCCCACTGAGCAGGGAGTCTGATGTGGGACTCTATCCAGGACCCTGGGATCATGACCTGAGCCGAAGGCAGAAGCTTAACTGACTAAGCCACCCAGGCACCCTAACGTTTAAATCTTTAATTTAGCTGGAACTAGTGGATTGCATAAAAGAAGTAATCTAACTTTGTCTTTTTACAAATGAATAGAGAAATGGTTAACTTTAAAAACAAGCCAAATAAAAGACATAAAACTTATCCAAGTAAAAACAATATAACAAAATGCAATATTATATTTAAATTTGTTCATTATTATTATCATTAATAGCTACAAATTATCAATTAGCTAGAATCAATATGCCAGAATCTATTGATAGGCCAGAATCTGTGTTAAATACCCAAAATGTTAGTATTAATATCTCCCATTTGCAGACAAATAATGTGAATCTTGCAAAAGGCTAAATGATTTCTATAATGCCACACAACTAATAAGTGGTGGAACCAAGATTAATTATTAATATCCTAAAGTAATTCTGTCTTCTTTTTTTAATAAATGAAATGAGCTCCATTTATGATCCAGCCGCAAATAATTATCGAATTATTCTCCATTTTAACCTTAACTAGATGGATATAATTTTGGATGTGACTAAATTTAGGTCTAATCAAAATTTCTAAACCTCTAAAAGAATAAAATTCCTCATTAATAGTTTTGCTCTGTGAATTGTAATAAAAAAAGAACAACAATTGTGTTTGGGAATGGAATATTAAAATTTTTAGAATCAAAATCCTCTTAAAAGTTATTGTGTTTGAAACACAAAAGTATGAATTATTTGCTAGCTACTGTTGGGAATGTACTATTGGGAATAATTAGGAAATTATAAATTGCAAGAAACGGAGGTAAAAAAGAGTAAAAGTGGATATTTAGGACCTGAATTTGGGGAGAGAAAAGAAAATACACTTATACCTTGGTCCCGCTCTTCTGTGTCTGTTGGTGGGAAGGGCAATACTTATATAGGACAGAATTATGTTCTTGGGTCCTACGAGTCAGCTCTGTTTAGGTATATCTCAGAAGGAAGTCCTTGTGTGCAGATACAGGCCAAAGAGCTAGAAGAATATTTTAGCCCAGTCTCAAAATTCTACTTTTCTTTTTTAAGATTTTTATTTATTTATTGAGAGAGAGAATGGTAGGGAGAGAGCATGAGATGGAGGAAGGTCAGAGGGAGAAGCAGACTCCCTGCCGAGCAGGGAGCCCGATGCGGGACTCGATCCCGGGACCCCAGGATCATGACCTGAGCCGAAGGCAGTCGCTTAACCAACTGAGCCACCCAGGCACCCTCAAAATTCTACTTTTTATGGAATGCCTGGGTAGCTCAGTCAGTTAAGCATCTGACTCTTGATTTTGGCTCAGATCATGATCTCAGAGTCATGAGACTGAGCCCCATGTCGAGCTCCACACTGAGTATAGAGCCTGCTTAAGATTCTCTCTCTCCTCTCTCTGTCCTTCCCCCTGCTTTCGCTCTCTCTGTTCCTCTCTCTCTCTAAAAAGAAAAATTCTACTTTTTATTTTTACCAAGACGTATAAGTAGTCTTGGTCTTTATGTGACTTCCTCTCCACTAACCTCTCCAGAGCTTCTGGCTCAGGAATGTAGTAGAGTCAGAAACAGGACAAGGGGAAAGCTAGGGTGAACCTCAGAATGAAGTTGTATAAAGGTTATTTTTTTAAAATGCTTTGACGTTTGATGCCTATGTCAAATTCCCAGCTTAGGAGCAGAGCTAAAAGTATATAGTCCAGGCTGAGTTAGTGAGTGGGTTGGAATTTTAGCCAGTGTGCTAACAAATAACTACTCAAGGAAATGCTATTATGTTAATTTTCAAATTTAAATTGTATCCAAGTCGCTAAATTTCTAAAATGGTGCAGGTCATGAAATAACGGCTCAACAGTGTCATTCTAGAGCACTAGAGAAATAAAGTTATTATTTTATCAGCCAGGGTCCAGTCAGGAGATATAAACCACATAGTAATTTAAATACGAAAAGTTTAATATAAACAATTAGTAACAGAGGATTAGTGTCAGGAAATTGTCAAGTAAGCGTTAAAGAGAACACTGAAGAAAATGTGACTAGCGGGTGTGGAGTACCAGTACTGCGAGGCCTGAGAGGGAATGCTCACAGAAGAGGCCTGACCCAAGGCTGAGATCCAAACCACATCAAAAAGGGCAAAGCCATGGTTCACTGCATGTTGAAGAAGTCCCTGAGGCAGATCACACACAGGCTTTACTATGAATCTGCCTTTGGAGAACCAGGAGAAGCTGTCCACAGGGAGGTGCCTCACTGGTGACAGACACTCCACTATAAAGCCACCCACGAGCAACATGCTTCAGGAAGCCATTCATATGAGGGTGTCCCACTGGCAATACTCTGCCATGAAGCTGCCTGAGGCAGGTGCCTGGTGAAAAATTGAAGATCTGGAGCTGAGAGGGAATACACTGATAACTGTCATGCTCTGTGTTATAGGTTGAATTGTGTCCCCCCCAGAAGTCCACTGAAGTCCTAACACTTGGTACCTGGGAATGAGACCTTATTTGGAAATAAGTTCTCCGCAGATGTAATCAATTTAATATTAGGTCCTTAGGGTGGGCCCTAATCCAATATGACTGGTGTCCTTAAAAGAGAAAAATTTGGACACAGACACATGCATGAAGGAGAACGGCCTGTGAAGATTCAGGCACAGAGGGACATGGCCATGTGAAGATGAAGGCAGAGATTGGAGTTATGCTGCCATGGTCGAGAATGTCTGGGACTGCCAGAAGATGGAAGGGGCAAGGAAGAATCTTCCCCAAGAGGATTCAGATGGCACACAGCACTGCTAGTACCTTGATTTCATACTTCTGGCCTCCACAACTGGAGAGAATAAATTTCTGTTGTTTAAGCCACCCAGTTTATGGTACTTTGTTACAGCAGCCCGAAAAAATTAATACATATGTACGTCCAGTTTCATTCATCTGAGTAATTCAGCATTTCCAAAATCATAATGGTGGGATCCAGAAGCAAACACTAACAGATACCATGTGGGTTAATCTAATTTTTGCCTTTCTTAGTTATTGATGATTGATTAACATTCCATTTAGATTTGGAGTCACAGAACCGGAGGAAAATCTTGAGAACTCAAGGCCAATATCCTCATTTTATTGAAGCAAATTTTTATGTACATATAATACACATACCGAAGAGTACATAAATCATAAGTATATGATTTTCACATTTTCACAATCCATTTTCACATAGTGAATACCTGTTTAATTAACCACCCAGGTCAGGAAAGGGAACCTAACAACACAGCTGAAGCACTTCTCACAGCCCCTTTCAGTCACTAACCTCCTTCAACTATAGCCACTCTCCCGACTTCTAACACAATGGATTTGTTGTTTTTGCTTGGTATTAAAGTTTAAATAACTGTAATCATGAAGTGTACATTCTCCTACATCTGGTTTCTTTGTAAACCATTATATTTGTGATATTCATATACATTGTTATGGGTAATTGTAGTTTGTTTATTGGCATTGCTATCCTCCAGAGTCAGAAAACTAAGGCCCATGATCCAAATCTAACTGACCACCTGTTTCTGTAAATAAAATTTTATTAAAACACAGCCATACCATTTATTTACATATTGTCTATGGCTGCTTTCAAGCTACAAAGGCAGGGTTGAGAAATTGGGACAGGGATTGCATGGCTCACAGAGTGCCAAATCTTTAGTATATGGTCCTTTACAGAAGTTTTCCAACTCTGCTATATAGTATTCCATTGTGTGTGTATATATATATATATATATCTCCATTTATTCTGCTGATAAGCATTTCTATAATCTCCATGCTGAGACTACTACAATTAGTGCTGCTATTAACATTTTAGTAAATATCTTTACCTTAAGATAAGTAATTAATTCTCTTTAACATTAAACTAGTAGGGGAATTGCTGGGTTGTATAGACATGTTCAACTTTAGTAGCTATTGCCAGTTTTCCAAAGTGCCAATCTCCTCATTTTAATGACTAAGAAAATCTATGTGGGTATCTTTTTGATATTTACTGCAGCATTACTCACAATAGCCAAGATATGGAAACGACCTAAGTGCCAACTGATGAATGGATAAAGAAGATGTGATATATACAATGGAATATTCATCAGCCACGATAGAGAAGGAAATCCTGCCATTTGCTATGACATGGATGGACCTTGAGGGCATTATGCTAAGTGAGATTAGTCAGACAAAAGACAAACAATGCATGATATCAATTATATGTGGAATCTAAAAGAGCTGAACTCATAGAAACAGAGAAAGGAATGGAGGTTACCAGAGGCTAGAGGATGAGGGAATAGAGATATTGTTTACTGGTGTAAATTTGCAACTATTAGATCAATAAGTCCTGGAGATCTAATGCATAGCATAGTGATTATAGTCAACAATAATGTATTACATATTTGAAAGTTTTTAAGAGAGTTAAATCTTAGTCTCCACAAAAAAAGACATGATAATTATATGATGTGATAGAGGTGTTAGTGAATGCTATGCTAATATCATATTGCAATATATAAAGTAACAAATCAATATGTCGTGTGTCTTCAATTTATACAATGTTATATATCAATTGTACTCAATAAAAATAATTAATTTAATTTAATTTAAAATTAATAGAAAAAAAAAACAGTGCCCTGAAATGTTAGGTCATATCATAATGATGAATTGGAAAAAATTATTTTTGGTCTTGGAAAACTTGTATTTTAAAGTCAAAACAACCTCACAGGAAAGTATTGAGTTAAGTTAAATTCTAAACTTCTGGGCACAGGGAAATACTGTGCTGAAAAAGTATTTCTTTCTCTCGACAATAAGAATATTTATAAGAATCTGGGAGTGGAAAAATTTAGGAATAAAAGCTGTGGCTTACAAAGTCCTTACCTTAGAATAAATGCAGCTGTCCGTTCCAAACACCCACTTCTGAGAATTATTTTCTTTATGTCTGTAATGGAAACGTAATTTAGAGACTGACAATTTTTCACCACACTAAAACATTTTATAGGTTTCAAATGAAAGGATCGTTTTCCATATCCCGGCAGGAGCAGGACTGCCCAGATTCTCCCGAGGTTTCCACCGTTCTACCGCCATCACTGCAGCTGAAGCCTTCCTTCCCCAAGGCAGCCTACCGATTTCCTTCGTACCCAAAGTGGCGGTGGTGGTAGTGGTGGCGGTGTGTGTATTACCCATGGCAACACTGGTTAGGAGTTTTAGAGAATAAAGGGAATCAGTAAAAATATTCTAGAAATTTCTATCCTTCCCAAAGATCCTCTTTCTATGAGACAGAAAGAGGCTTAATTAAGCATAAGGATTAAGAGGATAGGGTGGAAAAGGGTACCATGGAAAATTAGGAACCACAGGCACCGGTTTCTGAAATGACCAGAAAATTTTATTAAGGAATATCAGATTTCTTAAACGAAGTCTCAGTAAAAAAAAGAAAAACGACTATGATGAACTTAATCATGCCTAAATTAACGAATCATGTATATTAATATCATTAATATTTAGAAACCTTACAAAGGTAGGACAAATGAATTAAATGAAGTGTAATGGGATGTTAAACAAGGCTTTTCCTACTGCCTCTGGGTTTTGACAGAAACTTCAATGGCTGGGAATAAGAGGTGTCAGGCAATGCTCTATTCTAAAGCAAGGCGCCTTATGATCTGGGTAGAACATGTCAAGGCAGCAGTACAAAACTGGCGGAGTGTGCATTAGCCTTTTACCCATATCCAATTTATATTAGAAAACGTGAAGAGTTCTTGGGCATGTTGAGATAGATGCTTGATAATACTGTAGGTTTCCAAGCCCCTATCCTCAGAATTTTGATTCTGAAGGTCTGGACACCCCCAAATCTGTATTAACAGGTATTGCAAGTGATTCCAATCGTAAGAACTCTAGGGAATTTGGATGTGTGTGGTCTATGGATCAGACTTTTTTTAAAAAACATTGAAGTACAGTGATGAGAGCAGTGGGAGAAGGAAAGACCACATACTAATTATGAAAGGAGAATTGATTTGGTGAGTGAATAAATGGGGTGGAGATTAGAGACAGAAGGCAAGGATAAGTCCCAAATGTCAAATTTGGGTAAAGAAGGAAAGAACGTGACACTATGAAAAGAAAGTGAAGTTAGAATGGAGAAGAGGAAGCAGGGATGTGAGAAAACATGAATACTTAGAGGTGAACTTTTTTTATGAAACATCTTTCAAGGTCTAACTGATCCCTAAGCTAAGAATCTCGTTATCAGGCTTTAGACAAATATAACTGTTGTTCTATTTCAGCACTGGGTAGGATTGGGGAAGTATTAGGGGAATTAGTCCTTCTGGAGACCTTTTTATGTTGTAATTAATAAAAGAAAAGAGAAGCTTTAAAAATTTTTTTGACTTAGGGTCCTGAACTAAAATGTATTTTAATAATGACACTCATTATCCAAAACAACAACACATAGACTGAGAATTTGAAGGGAACTGAGATGAATAAAGTAAGATACAGAGAGATGAAGTGAGCTGGTCAAAAATCACAGAGCTAGATAATATCAAATAGATACTAGAACCCAGAGCCCCTGAATTTCAGCTCGACATCTTCTCAGTTAGATTGGAAAAGTACAACACAAATTACTTTGTGTTACTTGAAGATTAAAAATGGAATCAACAGTTTAGTCTCACTGATTAGAATTTGAGGCATAATCTTAGTGACTTAAAACACTTTGGTATGAACATACATTTTTTTATACAATTGTGTTCATATAATAACTAAGTATTCTCATACTATACAAATTCTCCTGAGGTACTAAAAAAGCTCAGGTTTCAACAACTAAATGAAGAAATAATAAAAACAACATTATTGCTGGTCTTTAAGGTTGTCAACCCCAAGCTTATAACTACACTCTTTTTAAAAATAATAATAAAGCGACTGCTGTAATGCTTTGATGGAAATGTGCTGGGATTTGATAAAACTTAGATCATTTTAATGCGGAACAGCTATAACTCAGGACAACATTATTGCTTATAGGCAATTCCTCCTGTTGCATAAATTATTGTGAGCATATTTCTTCAAGACAAATAAAGTGGAAATGATAATTTTTCAAAGTGTAAGACATCTGCAATTGGTAATTAATATACTGATGCTAACTGTCAAAAGCTGTAAAATCCAGAATTTTGTCTTTTAATTGAATTATAGTGTTGATTTGAGGATGACTGTAATTATAAAAACATAAACTACATCGATTTCAGTTTTGATTTTCTGAATTTGTTGCATCTTCTCCCCAAATAATAATATAACAGGAGAGATATTCACCAGATTGTCAACAGTGTGAGGGCAGAGACCACATGTGTCCTAAGAGCTGATCCCAGTGCCCGGCATATGATAGGAGATTAAAGATATCTTTGAATAAATAGATATGTGAATAAAATGTCAAAATGTTATCACCCTAAAAATTAATAAGGCCATTATGAAAAATGTTTTGAATTTAACATACAGTGGTTTAGGGGATCTTCTTAGTGAGTAGCTAAAGAACATAAACTATATTTTGGTTAAGAAAATAAGAAATACTTCTGAAAGAATTATAAATTTCCTAGCATTTCTCAAATTTTATCACAGCTCAAATTCTGTTCAAGAATTGCCTAGGAAATTTTGCAAATGTGTAGTTTCAAATCATATTTAAGCCTTGAGAGCTTGCTAGTAATTTCCGTATCAGGAGTCTCTCTAAGTATATATCTATAAATGTTGCCTTTAAATTTTACTACCAAAGTTATAAAAAACAAGTCTCTCATGTGGCATCTACACTAAGCAGGATGAGAAGATATCATTCGAATATATAATAACTTCCTTAAAAAATAAAATTCCTACAAATACAAGTGCATCTGTTTATTTTTCAAGACATTTTATATGTAAAGAAATCAAACTTAGATCCAATATGTAATGATGCTCATACAGGACTGAATTAGAAAATACCATAGAAGTTCCTCTTTTTGGTAAACAAGTAGCAAGCTAAAAAGATTTTTTATAGATAAAAACAAAATTTAAAAATAGCAATAACAATATGAATCATGAGAGAAGGAGAGGAAAATGAAGAAGCAGTATTCCATATAAGAAACAAAGTTAAATATCATGACATGTGCTGGACTAAATTCTGGTCCTGGATCTGACATTAACTAGATCAGATATATGATCTTTCTAGAACATTTAGTCTCTAGTGGACTTGGAATTTCTTATAAAGATAATGATATTATCATTATCACAACCACCACCATCACCACTGTTACTACTTCTACTCATAAAGAAGGGTTTAGAATAGATGCTCTTTAGAATCCTTCCTTCTCTGAAAGCATAGGACTTCCAAGATTAGTCACATACTCTCCTTTTACATGCAAGGAGAGAACTATCTGCCCTGGGAAGTTTGTTCATTGAGTATGCATATGCATTTTACTATTTCTATTGAGAATCTATAAAATGATGTACACACACACACACACACACACACATTTTTCTTTGAAATATGCCATTTATCGGAGAGTAGAGGCAAGAAGGCAGCCCATAAACATAGTTCAGTTAGGGGAAATTTCATAGGTTAAAGCTCATTATTTCTCAGTTGACTATAAGGAGAACCACTGTCATCATGCTTCACAGTTACAAATCTATTTTCCCAGACAGCTTCAGATAGCTCTGGCATCTTCCAATGCTACACGGACCAAAAGTAGGATCCATAGAGAACAGAGGAAAGGGATTTCCCCTCCATGATTCTTAACACAGTAGGAGTAGAGATAAGAAATTTGATCCATCAGTCCAACTGTGAAGTTACACATAGACAATTTTCTATTTGATGTTGATATTTCTAATAGTGTTATCTGTATGTTTGAATATTACTTAAACTTCCATTGCATGGCAAACGGTCCTTTCTACAATGGTGCAGTCTGTCATTCTGCTTTATTCTAACTCTTAGCCTCATAAACTTCAAGACTTGACCAAAGAGATGATTTTCAATCTCTCTGATTACCTGGTGATGGGCTGTCTGTTATCCTGTCTGTCTTTTTGTCTCTGCACCTAGCACTACACAGCTACACTTGCTGGTTGTAGTTAGTGGTGTCCTTAGAGCAGTGTTTGTTTAACCTACTCTAGATTAATGTTGGCCAGTTATCACTATTTCCAGCAAGACCTAAGTGGGGAGAAAAAAAAAGGAGATGCAAAACACCATAACTGAAAGATTAACACTGAAATAAGGAAGGCAGTAAAGATTATCAGACAGGTAATAGAAATGAATGAAGAAGTCTAGAGCTAGAGAGAGGGCTATTACTGGGAACAGTGGAGAATATAGCAAACTGGAGGATATATGTTCCATCTGAATCTGTTCCTGCTAGTTCCTCACTGGTAAAATGAGATGGTGAGAGTCCAGTACTGCCCATTCTTCTGATTTTTTGCAAGAAAAGATAGAAATATGTATTTTTTTGTGTAAAATCTCCCTATTTCTATAGGCTCACAACCAACTCAAAATATTATAATAATGTGCAGGCCAAACAAAATCCATGGGCCCCAAGTTTGTAGTCTCCATAATCTAACCTCTGTGTGTGGATGAATGGGAGTGTGTGTGTGCTGCGCTGACTGTGAATTTAACACTAAAAGCCAAATCCTGCATATCCACATTCTTTAAAAATGAAGCAAAATCAAGATTAATTGGTAGCCTTGTTAAAGGACTTTGACGCAACTGGTTTGTCTTTAAGATGTCCAAAATACCTTTTAGAAAGAAGCATCTTTCATTATAAGGTTTATGATTTTTAGAATTTTCTATGATTTTCAGATCACTTAGTAATGACATCGTTGGTTTGCCTTTCATCCACTCATAGCCAGATGCACATCACAGAAAAAAATATTAAATACACAAACATGTGCAAGCACTTGCCCTATTGAATAAGAATAAGATGCGTGACACCAAATGAGACATAACCAAACTAATGAGGCATGATATGTTTACAATATTCTCTGTAAGTTGTCAGGTTGCTACTTTAAGTGCTAGTTCTATTATTTTTAGTATTTAAAAGACTATGTCTTGACTGTTGAATTATGATCTGTACCTCTGAAGCAAATAATACATTATATGTTAAAAAAAGAAGACGAAGAAGAAGCTATCAGGAAGGGAAGAATGAAGGGGGGAAATCGGAGGGGGAGACGAACCATGAGACACTATGGACTCTGAGAAACAAACTGAGGGTTCTAGAGGGGAGGGTGGTGGGAGGATGGGTTAGCCTGGTGATGGGTATTAAAGAGGGCACATTCTGCACGGAGCACTGGGTGTTATATGCAAACAACGAATCATGGAACACTACATCAAAAACTAATGATGTAATGTATGGTGATTAACGTAACATAATAAAAAAAAAAGACTATGTCTTGATTCATAGCTTTTGTTAAGATCATATTACACTACTTAGGAGAAAAGGAAAAAATTTTGTCTCTAGAAGTTGCATGATGATATTTATGTTATTTATAATAAAATATGGTTGCATTTATAAAAAAAATAAGACAAACAGGCACTTAAGAAACTCTTAGAAAAGATAAATATACTTGAAAAGTACCAGAGGTGAGGTAAACTCTAAAAATCTTGGTCCCTACTGCTTTCTAAAAAACAAAATGTAGCTTCACAGTTAGTGAGAACTCCTAGGTTTCCAAATTTTCTACTATTTGCTTCCACCTTGCAATAGATTTTGTTTCTCAGATAAAAATCAAGTTGCATTAATATAAAGGCAAATAATCTTAATTTGCGTAAGGATCCTCCCTTTCCCCCTCACCCACCAATCCTACCTCTCTCCTCTCCCTCTCTCTCCGTCCCTTCTTTCCTGAATTTGAACAAAATCTTTCTTGTAAATGGAGATTTTTTTCAAGTTAAACTTACTACAGTTTTTTTTTTTAATTATCATCTCTTTTCTAGCCCAAGCTCTGTTCTCTCTAGGCAGCAAGGACATCAAGTTTGTGGTTTCTGTCCCATTCAGTTCCATGACAATCCTAGCCAGAGTAGGAAGTAAACCTCAGTGGGCTAAGGCCAGATCAGCACTAATTTCAGGACCCAGTAAGTCCAGGGACAGCCCTGGGCATGAAGAGTGTGTTCATCAAACTATGTCTAACCTTTCCAGACACTTGCCATTTTGACCGTCTAGACCACTGGTTAGCTCTTCCACTGACAGTGCCCTTCCCCCACCACTTCCCTCCAAAGTAAGCACTCAGTCATTCCTTACCCATTGTGATTTTTTTGTTTGTTCCTCTATTGTCTTTTTGTACTTTTTAAAAACAGCTTTTTGGAGAAACAACTAACATACAATACTGTAAAATATTGCATAACTGACAGGCACACATTTAAAGTGTAAAATTTGACAAGTTTTGAAACATTTATATACCTGTTAAAACATCACAACAATCAAGATAGTGAACACACCCATATCCATCTCTCCCCAAAAAAGTTTCCTTGTCCTTGTGTCCCTTTGTAATCTCGCTCTCCTATCCCTCCCCATCCTCCTATCTCCAGGCAAACACTAATCTGCTTTCTAGATTAGTTACCAAGTAGGCAAAAACAAATAGGAAGGAGACTTTTGACGCCCTACACCTCAGCAAATTTTTGTCTCCTTAGTTTTTCTTTCCCAGTTCAGCATTTCATATTCAGAAGATTCAGAAAAGGTTGAGAATACACACAGAATATTAAATATTTAAATTAACAATCAAAATGCATATAAAGAAATGAGTTCCAATAATTATAGAGTAAAGCAGCAGCTTGTCTACAACATAGGTACATGCTGAATGCCAACATTTTACTTTTAAAAATACCTAAGAAATACTACCAAACTGACGTACATTTTCAAGCTTATTTGAGGTTAGAAAATTAATATTGATATTATGAACACAAATTTAAACACCTAATGAATATTCCATCTAAGTTGACTGCTCAGAAATCTTGAAATTAACATTTATTATTTTGAGCTAAATAGCTCATAAGCATTACCTTTTCTGTAGGATTAATTTATATCCTTCTAGTGATGTTCCCTCAGCAGCCTCGACTCTGATTGGATGACCAATAGCTAGGCAGCCCTGCGTTATAGCCCGGCTCAGGATCATTCCAGTCTTCCAATGAATAGAGAGGGGGGAGAAAGGTCTAAATAAGTTAAAAGAACCAGAAAATTCAACAATGTGTCACAAATAGTGAGGTCATTATGCCTGGATAACCCCAGATATTAACAGTTGCTGAAAGTGAAACACTACCCACAACTTAGCAGTCAGAGAGCCCTGCTCAGAATCAGTGATCTTCTGTCCAACAAGGGTGGCATTTTACAGTTCAGCGCAAAATAAAACAGACCTTGATATCTTCATTTGTCCTTTTTTTCTGTGCATATTTCACAGTGCAGTGATTTGGGGTCCATCATGTGTCACTTGTTATAGTTATAACTACAGAGCTTACTTGAAATATGTATGCACAGGAAAAAAAAGTGCAGTGGACTGAAACAATTGAAACAAATCCTTAACCTTCATACCAATTTAAAGTTTCACTCTGGGTCTAAATACCATGGGTTAAACATCTTAAGGTGGTCTGTGCACTGCTTTTGTTTTAAATGTTAGGATACTCTGATAAGGAAATTGAGAATATTGTGTAAATGGCCAATTAACAATTTTCTTACTTAGGGAATCAACAACATGTTTTAAATAAGTGACAACCACTGAAGAATTTATTCACACACTGAAGATTTATGGCATGCAAAATTGCCTATCCTAACAGGTAAAAATACTTATTTTGAAAAAGGGAGAGAGCATTCAATCTAAAAAGATTTTCAAAATTGTCTTCTTTTTAATGGGAGAAGATATTTGCAAATGACATATCAGATAAAGGACTAATATCCAAAATCTATAAAGAATTTATCAAACTCAACACCTAAAGAACAAATGATCCAATCAAGAAATGGGCAGAAGACATGAACAGACATTTTTCCAAAGAAGACATCCAAATGGCCAACAGACACATGAAAAAGTGCTAAATATCACTCGGCATCAGGGAAATCCAAATCAAAACCTCAATGAGATACCACCTCACACCAGTCAGAATGGCTAAAATTAACAAGTCAGGAAATGACAGATGTTGGCGAGGATGCAGAGAAAGGGGAACCCTCCTACACTGTTGGTGGGAATGCAAGCTGGTGCAGCCACTCTGGAAAACAATATGGAGGTTCCTCAAAAAGTTGAAGATAGAGCTACCATACAACCCAGTAATTGCACTACTGGATATTTACCCCAAAGATACAAATGTAGTGATCCGAAGGGGTACATGCACCCCAATGTTTATAGCAGCAATGTCCACTATAGCCAAACTATGGAAAGAGCTAAGATGTCCATCAACAGATGAATGGAAAGAAGATGCGGTATATATATACATATATATACACAATGGAATATTATGCAGCCATCAAAAAATGAAATCTTGCCATTTGCAACAACATGGATGGAACTAGAGGGTATTATGCTAAGCGAAATAAGTCAATCAGAGAAAGACAAGTATCATATAATCTCACTGATATGGGGAATTCTTAATCTCAGGAAACAAACTGAGGGTTGCTGGAGTGGTGGGGGGTGGGAGGGATGGGGTGGCTGGGTGATAGACATTGGGGAGGGTATGTGCTATGGTGAGCACTGTGAATTATGTAAGACCGTTGAATGACAGACCTGTACCTCTGAAACAAATAATACATTATATGTTAAAAGAAGAAGAAGAAGAAGAAGATAGTAGAAAGGGAAAAATGAAGGGGGGGAAATTGGAGTGGGAGATGAACCATGAGAGACTATGGACTCTGAGAAACAAACTGAACATTTTGTGGGGGTGATGGGTATTAAGGAGGGCATGTATTGAATGGAGCACTGGGTGTTATATATACAAACAATGAATCATGGAACACTACATCAAAAACTAATGGTGTATTGTATAGTGACTAACATAACATAATAAAATAAAATTTAAAGAAATTGTCTTCTTTTTAGCATGTAACTTTTATTCCTCATGCTTTTGCTGTGTGCTAAAGAAATATACGATAACTTAGGAAAAGTATTTTTTTTTAAATTTTGGCTCTAGTAAGTACTGGATGGAATCCTCATTTGACCATGCTTGTCTATACAGGAAGAAAATTGCTTGGGGTGAGGATAAAAGAACATTTATTAAGCACTTTCTGTATACCAGATACTACGCTTGAACTTCACACATGCTTTCTTATTAGTCACCACAGCATCTGTGCAAGATAGGTATGACTAACTTCATTTTAGAGAGGAAGAAACACTGGTTTAGTGCAGCTAAGTAACTTTCTCAAGGTCACACAAGGCATTCTAATTCCCATGCATCTAATTCCAAAACCCATCTTCTTTTCAGTAAGCATTTCAGTTATTTTTGAGGAAATCTTAGACAAGTACAGGTTTTTTGCTATCATGAAATTCTAGAAACAGACACCATAGAATTACAGAATATGAGATCTAGAAAAGAACTTTCCATATCAACTGGTCCAACTCTTTTCAGATAAGACTAAAGCCCAGATACGGAGTGTGACTTACCTGAGGTTACACAAGCGTTCAGTGGCAATGCTAACACTAAACACTTCCATTATGCTCAGACATTGGCCAAATAGAGAGCAACGTTGTATATTACAGTGAAAATGTGTAAGTTTTGAAGTCAGATAGACCAAGAATCTTTCCTCTGCTATGTACCAGCCTCAGTTTTTTTCAGCTGTATAATGTATAAGATTAAATGAGATAATAAATATGTAGAAGATGCCTAACATATAGCAGATGTTTAACAAAATGGCAAATATTGTTATTAAGTCTGAAACAAAATATGACTTAAAAAAGGTTCATAGTTCATAGAGTCTCCCAGTTAGAAGTAGATTGAAGAAATATCTAAACTCATTCTGCCTTAATATATGAAATGAATATTTCTCGTTGCCTTTGTAACTTAATTACTCTCTATGTTTGTTTTTAGCTCTCAGAGAATCAAAAAATAACAGTTAAGGACAATCCCAAATTTCATTTGAGAAAATAGTTGCAACATCCCCACCCCCAACAAAGTAGCAGCAAACTTGCCTGAGTGACTCTGCACCCACAGAAGTGCTAAGAAGAGGCAAAAATAATCTATAGTGAGGGGGCAAAGGAAGACAAAAGAAGGATAGATACAAGCTACACCATCTCTTTCCAGACATAAATATTTGGTGGCAATTACAAAACAAATTGCAATAGTAAAAGGGAAGGAGAGGGCAATTACGTGTTTTCAATTTAAATCAGATCCACTGGTATAGTAGTAAAGTTAAAAAATTAAATAGTGTCAATACATGGGTATAAAATGTGTTAGTCATTGTTCACATTTTATACTCAGGGATTTCTCTTAAAACTGTCCTCACGAAGACCAGACACTGTCCTTATATGGTGCTCACACACCAGGCTCAGTGAGGCTCAGCAATGAAGACTAAGGAGTGGAAGCAAATGACATTCAGACAAATTTCATGAAAATGGTGAGTGTGTGAACTGTTCGGAAGTTCTATGCTCAGTTTAAATACTGAGTATGAACTAACCGGCACATGTGAAAGTGAACTGAATGCTCCCATGGGGACCTACAGAAGCCCTCTGCACTAGACAAACCCAGAGCAGAGAAGAGCATGCCTGACAGCCAACACTTGCTCATGCCTCCATTTGCAGGCTTGTGTGCACGAGGACACCAGGAGCCGGTGCCCCACTGTGAGTAAGGAGCATGGGCAGTCCTCCAGGACAGCAGACGCTGTTGCATACCTTCGTGATCAGCCACACACTGGCTGCAGGCCACAGGATCGATGGCGCTATCTGACTTCCACTCCTCACTTCCCTGCTTGAGGACCTCCGCTTTCCGATGGAAACAGAGGCATGAAGGACAATATTGGGATCCACCTATACCATGAGAAGGAATATGCATTTTTAAACTTACAGTCTGAAAATCTACCTTCTTCAACACACTTACCCAAAACAGGTTATCCTAGAACATTATATTTCTGATTGAAAAGGTTTCTTTTGAAGTAGTAGTCCTCAGTCCCATTTAACTCAATTCAATTAATATTTGTTGAGCATCAGCTCTGATATGCAAAGTCCTAGACTGTGTGGTATGGGATATTATAAAATATTTTTCCTGCCTGGGATGCCTGGGTGGCTCAGTCAGTCAGGCATCTGCCTTCAGTTCAGGTCATGATCCCAGGGTCCTGGGATAGAGTCCCACATCAGGTTGTCTGCTTAGTGGGGAGTCTGCTTCTCTCTCTCCCTCTCCGTCTATGCTTTCTCCCGGCCTCTCAAATAAATAAATAAAATCTTAAAAAAATATATTTTTTCCTGCCCTAGAGAAACTTGCAACAGAAGAGGCAATAACACACACACACACACACACACACACAAACACACACACGGGTAGACACCATGGATTGTAGAATAGGGACATCAAAGGAGAGCCGGTAAGAGTCCCCACAATCTTCTAAGAATAAAGGGATATGAGTTGAGAATTTAGTGATAGTTGCAGGAATGGACAGGAGGGGACTAACTGGTAAGACACAGTATCTGTGCATCCCATATTTGTTATCAGACTACATACATACATCAAAGATACTGTACACCTTCTAGCATTTCTCACTTAGCTGTGATCGTAAAATCAATAGGCATTCACATCACCTGTAGAAATTCTACTTCATATTTAATAAACTATTCTGCTAACTTATATGATCACTTTTCCTAAGTAAATTTTTAAGTATCAATATTTACTTACATAGGATTATGGGAATATATCAGTTTATACTTTAAACCCAATAAATGACATTGATTCATAACAATTTAAATTATTTTCTAATACTAAAAAGTATATTCTAAATCTGTGCTAATACTAGATATTTGCTGAGTAGCAACTGATTCTTAAAAATACAAAAATTAAATGATAATTTAAAAGGCAATATTTACAAATGTGATCAGGCAATAACAAAAGGGCATCACTAGTATATTTGGTAATTATTCTACAATGGAAGATAGTTACTTCTCAAGGGAAGAAACTATCTTATGACTCCTGTATGTGAAAATAAAATTTCAAAAACAGAGCAACCCCACGATGGAAACAGATTTGACTTGCAGCTCTTTGTGTATTCCCCAGTTAGCCAGTAGTGGCTGGATTCTGGAGGGGAATCCCCCACAGTTTCCGAACAATGATAAACTATATTCTACTAATCCACCCGCCACAGGACTCAGCATTTAAAGTAGCACTCTTACTCAACCTCCTAACTGCAAGTTGCCATCACACTCAAAACTCTCCTCTGTAACAGGGAAGAAGATTGTTTTGACTGGAATTAGTCAGACAGAAGAACCACACTGACAACTGCTTCTTTGTACAGCACCTGCTGCCAGCGCCTAAATTCTTGTTATCTCCACAACATGGTTTAATCTTTTAACAGTTGGCTTATTGGTGAAGAGCAAAGGGGTCCTTTGTGTCTGTCTTGGGTTGGCACCCAGTATTAACACCATGCTGTTCTTCGAGAGATATTTTGCTGGACAGTTCCCAAGTGACTCTACATGGACCAGACTCAGCCAGGCCCACTAACTCAGCTTCATTGCCTGTTATTAAAAGAAAAACTCTTGCCAAATCTGGGGTTCTGATACACTTAAAATTGACAATGGCCATTAAATTTCAATTCATGACTTCCCCTTCTTTTCCCTTTTTAGTTTAATCAGATAGTTTAGCTTTAGACCAAACATTTATGAAGGTGGGTAAGATAAAAACTGTGAAAATTACAATTCATAAAAGAAAAGTGCTTGGACAACCTGCAGCATGGTCTGCCATGCATGCGTGTATGCACACACAGGTATGTGTATTGATAGCATTTATGCTAAGACTAACCTCTAAATACATACCATCACATATAGCATTAGGTCATTAGGAAAAAGGAAACCTCTTTTATTCTTTTGAATACCTATATATATATATATATATATACAGGAGATAGAGAGATAGATGATAGATAGATAGATAGATAGATAGATAGATAGATAGATAGATAGATATGTATCCCTTTAAATGACAGTTATGATTTTGGTTGTCTGACTAAACTGTATTAATACAGAAGTTGCCAGTGATCAAAAAATGATGCATGCATACTCTGGGCCTCTTAACACTTCTTGTTTAATTTTCTTTTTCCAAATCACTAATGAAAGCCATCGCTATTCCTGTGCAAATTCAAAATAATGAGAGAACCACTTATGGTTTTTACTTACAGATCTGAGGAATAAAACACAAGACAATGAAATTTTTCTTGAAAGGAGAAGCTCACGGATCACACCCTTTATTCTAAACAAATCATTTACTTTATTTACAACATAGAAATTTTATAAGATTTTTCACTTCTGATAGTGAATTTAGGGTCAAGTTAAAAAATTTGATACACAAATTAAAATCACAACTATAAGTGTGGTTCAGATGGTTAATGGTCTGCCTTCAGCTCAGGTCATGATCTCCAGGTCCTCGGGTCGAGCCCCATGTAAGGCTCCCTGCTCAGCAGGTAGTCTGCTTCTCCCTCTGCCTCTCTCCCCTGCTCATTCTCTCTCTCTATCTCTCTCTCTAATGACTAATAAAATCTTCAAAATATAAAATCGCAACTATAATAAATGTTATAAAATCTCTTTCCTTGTGCCCCTAATGTTCATTCTTATTGTTTTCATTCCCTAAATCTATAGCTAATCAATACACCCACCTCAAAGACCAAGAACTGGAAAAGTCTAAAGGCAGAAAATACCAGTGAGTACATAATTACACAACCAAACAAGGCAAATTATCTAAGATGTAAATATGCCGTCCTCAAACAGCTTCCAACTATTGGTCTAAAAATAAGGAAGGGACTCAGGATTTTATTTAAAGTTCTGTATCCTATTCTAGTGGTAATTGGTTCAAAATTAAAATCAAAATTTTATATTTTCCCTAGCATAAATTATTTGTAGAAAACATTATTTTTCAATGACTTGCCCTCCAAAGAAATAGGACAGTAAAAAATTGTTCATTTTTTTCCAGCCTCTTTGTGATATATAGAATAATTTATTCTGCGAGTATCCATGACTGCCGACTTTACAAGTTGTAAGTTTATAACTCTAAACAAGTATGCCATAATTCTAAAGTCATTATTTGGTATTGTTCTCACCGTTTCTATACCAAAAGTTGTCACTAATATCCTGCTAAAGTCTGATTATACCAAAAGGCTAGGATCAAAATGTTTCCTTTCCATTTTGGCAGAATGTATTACCTGCTAAACACTGGAGTCCATTTTTCTGCTATTTTTTTCCCATAACCAGGCATTACTCAGACTATTCTTCTCATGAAATGTTTTTTTCTTTTATATTAACTACCATGAAGTTTAAATCTCATCCAGTGCATGGAAATATTTAATTTTATTGCCCTTAAACTGAAGCAATCTAAAAATGTTGCCAATTTAAGTAACAAGAAAGAACTGTTGAAAGATGGATTTTCCCAATTGTCATTTTGTAGTAGATTCCAAATCTTTTTTTGAAATGGATAAAAGAGCCAACAGGTTGTAATTGTCAGGGTTATATCTATCTCCCACATTACTAATAGGGATTATATGTTCCAAATTTTTCTCTGTAGGAAAGGTTTTACTTGTCAATAAGAGATTTAAAAGAACGGTCAGGGGTTGGGCACTGATATCTCTATCTCAAGCCAATTTTAAAACGTATGCATCAAGAATATCGGCTTTTGCCTCCCTCTCTCTACCCCTGTTGTAATCCTCTTAGTGTCTTCTTTACCACAATGAGCAACAAGATTCTACAATAAAAGGCCCTATAGATATCTATCACCTCTGCTAGAATCTCTCTTGAAAAGTGCTCCATTTCAGGTTATTAAATTACTATTTCCAATGCACCGATCACCTCTCTATATATAATTGGAGATGCTATTCTGAAAGGACTATAAGGGTTTCATAGCTAAGGGATGGCCATTTTTCTTTGAAAGCTTCCTTTAACTAGCCAGCTTATCAAATCATTGCTTTCTTATACTACTATTTTTGTTGGACTGAAATTTTGTTCAAAACCATTTTTTTCTAAAAATATAATAGTGTACAAACTTTATTTAAGTTGAGTGCTTTCTTATTTTCACTGAATCATTAAAACCAGTTAATAATGGTGAACTAACTGGATTGTTATCCTCTTATTTTTCAACATTAGAAAATATAGTTACCGTTTAAGGTCCTACATCGGCATAAAACAAAAAAAGAAGCTTCCTTTGAGTTCTTTTTCTCTGATAACTCTTTGATATCCTTTTTTTTTCAGTTTTGGGCTGGTTTCTATTGAATGAGTTAATTAGTGAATTCAATTCTATCTAGCTAACTCTGAACATGTAGATATTACAGCAATGACAAGGATGATCAGGATGCCCTCTGGCCCTGAGCAATGTCTAATCTAGCAGGAAGGATTTTAAAAAGGACTCCCGAGTTGTCTTCCTAGCATAAACATCAAATCAGATCCTGCCTCTGCTTGAATATTTCCAATGGCTCCTTGTTTTCTACAGAACAACATCCAGGATCCCTAACATTGAATTAAGACCCTTTATGATCTGGTCCCAATATTCTCAGTGGAATCTACTGTTTTCCCTTTTCTTCCCCAATGTGACCTGAAATGTGTTCACCTGGAACACTGGTTGACTTTGAATCAGGCAAAAAAAGTTTAAGAGAAACATCAAGTTCAATGTCATAAGGGGCATAGAATGGATGCAATGAAGATATGAGTCCAGAAACATCATACCCAGTTTGGGGATGAAGGTTAGTAAAGAAAGCTTTCATGAAACAGGCACAAATCAGATAAAGCTAGAATGATGGGCAGAATTTCAGTGAGCATTTAATGAATGCTAGCCGTATGCCAGATAGTGTTAGAATATGGCATAAAGGTGACAAAGAAGGCTGGTGGGTGGTAACAAAGACAATGAGGTTGAATTCCAGGCAAAGGGATCCACATGGGCATAATAACAGAAATCATGAAGTACTTTCAGAAAACAACAAATGAACAATCAGGCTTGGCTAACACATGAAGAACATATTAGAGAATATTGAGCCTGGAAAGAAAGGTTGTAGCCACATTTTAAAAAATCATTCATCAAAAATGTATTGTGCACCTGCCCTACATTCAAGATCTGTGCTGGAATTCAGAAATACAAAGATGAGTAAGACATAATGTCTGTGTCCAAAGAATTCTCAATTTAATGGAAGAGAGAGACCCTAAAACAAATGACTATACCAAAACACAAACTCTAAGAACATTTTCAAAGGATGAAAAGGAGGTTCAATTAATATAAGGTTCATTCTTTCTGGAGGGTCTGAGACAGCTCCATGGAAGAAGAAGTTGAATAAAGCCTTAAAAGGCAAGGAATGGTAATGGTGGGGGGTATATCCTAGGCCAAGAACAACACACGCCATGGTACAAGTGTATCAGGTGAAGAACATGTTATGGAGCACAGTTTTTTAGCTCTAACTGTAGTGTAGGGTACAAAGGAGATCAAGAAAAGAAGATTGGAAAGGAAAGCTGAGTGTAGGGGCAGATTAGAGGAGAACCATGGAGATCAATGAAGGCCTGATGAAGATTTGAAATTTCAATAGGTAACAGACAAGCTTACAAGTTTTTTTTGAACAGGAAACAATGTCACAGCAAAAACCTAAAAAGGAATGCCAACAGGATCAGAATTATGGGAAATAAATCTTAATGTGAGATAAATATAAAATATAAATATAAACATTAATTCTCAGTGTACCATTCAACTTGCATTTATTTTCTAAATTTGCTCAGAATCTGACAGGATTAGAAATACAGATGACCCTTGAATAATACAGGTTGGAACTGTACAGGTCCACTTACATGTGGATTTTCTTTGATACAGTGCAATGCTATAAATGTATTTTCTCTTTCTTATAATTTTCTCAATAACATTTTCTTTTCTCTAGCTTACTTTATTGCAATAACACAGTACATAATACATATAATATACAAAATAGGTGTTAACCAACTGTTTATGTTATTGGGAAGGTTTCTGGTTAACAGTAGGCTATTAGCAGTTAAATTTGGGGGCAGTGAAAAGCTATACATGGGAAAAAATTGTATGTGGATTTCCAAATGTGAGATATCAGTACCCCTAACTCCATTGTCCGTGGGTCAACTATAATTTTTTATTTTATTCTATTTTTATAATTATGTTATTTAGATTCACATGTGCCTTAAAATAACTAATATTTTCAGTATATATTTTGACATAATAAACTGAGCAGGCATGGAGAAATTAAAAAGGAGCTTGGGACAATGTGTCTTTTGCATTGTGTCTTAGAGATAAAGGGCCCAGACCATTTAACAGAAAGTCCTACTTTCTTTGGGCATCTCCATCTTTGTGGGTGCCTTTTGGTTTTGATTTCATGAGTTTATTTATTTAATTTATTTGAGAGAGAGAGAGAGAATGAGAGATAGAGAGCACGAGAGGGAAGAGGGTCAGAGGGAGAAGCAGACTCTCTGCTGAGCAGGGAGCCCGATGTGGGACTCGATCCTGGGACTCCAGGATCATGACCTGAGCCGAAGGCAGTCATTTAACCAACTGAGCCACCAAGGTGCCCTGATTTCATGAGTTTAAACACTAAAGCTTATGCTGCTGAAATAGACAACAACCCTGCCGCTAAGGGGGAAAAAAATTATTCTTTCTTTGGAGACATGTTTAAAATTCTTTACTGGCACGATAAATTTCTAAGTGTAAATTAATAAACAAACCTTCTGGATTGGGTTGTAATGAGTTGGGTTTTCTAAAGAACTCCTATTCCTTAAATACATTGACCCATAGAGCAAATAGATCAAATGCTTGTTTAACAGCTATCTTAAAGACTTTTTAAAACAACTCCAACTTATTAATACAGTAGATATAAAGAAAATATGCTAAGCAATAGCACTTAAATAACAGAATTCAAGTGAAAATTTTTCTAGTAGGAATATTATATATTGATTCTGTTTTAAAGGAAAGAATAATATTTGTCCCAACATTTGTAAAATAACTTATACTTTTCAAAAACCTTCAAAAAATCCACTCAGTCACCATGTATTGAATGACTGTCCAATATATAAAATATCTTCATTAAGTACAAGAAATAATTCTGACCTTGTTCTGTAGGAAATGGTTCTCCAAGTCCACCTTTTCAAATTGATCAGGTATCTGTTGACTGGTACTGTTGAAATTAATTGGAAATCTCTCACAAACTTCCCAACTAAGAAAAGAAAAATATTTCATTATTTTTGTCAAAATAAAATAAAATGCATTTCATTATAACTCTATTTAATCCACTAGTATAATAATTTATGTATCTCAACATTGACATGTTAAGATACATCATATGGCATTTTACTCAACAAAAACCAGTTCTGGGACTACTGGTAATAGTATTTTTTTCAATACCCTGAGAGATATAAATTAGAGTATGATTATTAAGATTTCAAATAATGCACACTAGAGTATAGAAAGAATTTCAAATGGAATCCAAAAATTATATAAATTATCTTCAAATAAGTTTGTTTTCAGTAAGGGTAGTTTCATATTGTTATGCTTAGTGACCTAGATCTAATTTAAAACCACTCAATAAAACAGTCTTCATTGCACCCAGGGAAGGGAAATTAAGAAGGAATACATGAATTAAAATTTAAACTCCTAGCTAAAACTTGAAGGGAAAGGGTCTGGGCAAATTTAGCAGTTTGGGGAAAGATTGTGGCACATGAAATGAATCTTCTTATAAATGGATATGCCTATAAAAGAAAAAGCGCTGAGGGGGTGCCTGGGTGGTGCAGCCAGTTAAACTTCTGCCTCTGGCTCAGGTCATGATCTCAGGGTTCTGGGATCAAACCTGGTATTGGACTCCCTGCTCAGGGGGGTGGGGCCGGTTCTCCCTCTCCCTTTGCCCCTCCCCTCCCCATTCATGTGTGCTCTCTCTCAAATAAATAAAATCTTAAAAAAAAAAAAAAAAAAGAATGCTAAGTTATTTTCTGTCTATAAAGAACAAGACAAAACATTCAAATCTTGCCTGGATAGTACAGGCAGTCATTGGGGGATAGAGTTGTTTAAACAACCAAGGAAGACCAAAACATTCATCTTTGTAGACATGTTTAGCAATATGTAGCTAGACTGAGTGACCTCATCAGACACCACTTCTGGTTCTCTGTATTTTCCCTCTACATCTAGCCTTTTCACCTGTATATTAAGGAAAGCTACAATTTGTTAAATTACAAAATATTAAAGATAGTTGGGACCTTATAGATAGTTCAGCTATCACCAACGTACTATCAGAAATACAATAGCCACTAGTCACATATACCTATTTAAATTAAAATTAACGTAATTTAAACAAAATTAAAAATTCAGTTCCTCAGTCACATTAGTCATATTTTAAGTTCTCTACAGTCAGAACATCTGCTTCCATCATCACAGAAAGTTCAATAGAGAGTGCTAGATAGTGGTTAAGCCCTCAGTTCTTAAGAAAGACAATCTGGGTTAGAACGCTGGCTCTGTCATGTACTAGCTGTGTGACTGGGCAAATTATTCTGCGCCTCTGTGCCTCGGTTCTGGTTCTATAGAATGGAGTAATAATAAGATAATGTAATGATGGGATTAAGATCATTGTTTTGAGGATTAAATAAATCCTTACCCAATCCATTTAGAACTGTGGTCAACACTTAATAAATACTGGGTTTTATTATTTACAGATAAGAAGCAGACACCCATCTGCTCATGGGCAATCATGAGCAGCAGAGATGGGGCTAGATGCTCAAATCTTCTAACTCTTGTTCTTCCCATCCCTCCACCACTTCTCTAGCATGTTGCTTTTGTTTCCAATTTATCATCATCAAAGGAGATGCTTACATATGAACATTCATACAAAAACATATTATTTAATATTTTAATGATTCCACTCAAAACTCTTAATTTAGAAACATCCACTAACAACAGTTTTTACATTTCAAATAAAATTGTTACATCTGCAAAGCAGAAACTAGAGTCTGCTCATTGCTTCATGTGTTTTTTTTTTTTTTAATTCAAGAAAAGTTACTGGTAAGTCTTTTAGACACTAGCTCATTATATCATGAAATAAGTCAGTAAAATAAATAATCGCTTATTAAAACAATTCAATGAACATCTTTTAGTGTTACAATCTGAATTGGGTAATTCAGATTACTTTAACCGAGCACATGTTAATTTACTTGTCACATCCAGGCAGCAGAACAGCATTAGGATCCAAGAAGGTTTTATGTGCAACTGTAATCCCGTCTCTGTCAAATGCAGTCACCTGGTCAAAGGTGAGACTCAAAACAGGGGTAAGTGGAGATCTGAAAAATGGAAAAAACATTAAAGCTATATGCAAAATCATACAAGCACTGAAACTTGAGCACAAATAAACAATAAAACCTGTAATATCAGTAAGGAACAAAATCCAGCAATAAGTGAATTTCTTATTATATAGCACTATTGATATACTGACACCTGAAATGCACATTTTAGTTTATTTGGCTGATTTATAATATGTCAAGGATAGTTGTAACACAGGTAAATTTTTAAAATAATCTCAATAATAAAAGCAAAGTTGAGAAAAGCAAAGTTGAGAAAAACAACCAATTGTCATTCATGCAATTTTCATTTTTAAATGTATAACTACAATGCAATACACCATTAATATTCTCTGGAGCTGATAATTAAATGAATTCTTAATATTTGGCCATAAATTACTATTTTTTGTGAGCTCACTAAATGTTATGCTGATTTGATTTTTCATATTACATACTGTTAGGTACTTTGTTTTATATTTAATTATTTGAGAATAAAATCAAATAGGAAACAGATCTTAAATAAAAATAGTGGTAATTGGTACTATCTCAACTATGAGCCATTTTTTTTCTAAATTGGTGACAAAGCCTTGCTATTTAACTTCATAATTATAGGACTCAATCACATCACCTGTGTAGGATTGTCAAAATTTTTAAAACTGATTCTAATCATAAGAAACCTCGCAGACAAATCCAGAATGTGGGACATTCTACAAGAAAAGTGCCTGAACTCTTAAAAAAATTCAATGTCAAGAAAAGCAAAACAAAAGGTGAGAGAATATTCTAAATTAAAGAGAACTAAAGAAGATAACTAAATGCAATACATGAATCTTACTTTCATCCTCGACTACAAAAAACTCTAAAACACATTTTGGATAGTTTAAACATAGATTGTATATTAGATGATGCTATATTATTGTTGACTGTGCTAGATCTTACAATGTGGTGACACAGAAGAACATCCTATTCTTCAGTTACATGATCTGAAGCATTTATGAGTGAAACTTTACTGATTGTCTGGAAATAATCTAAAACCTCTCAAACGAGAGACAGGGAGGTATAAGAGGTAAAACTAACAAGGCAGACTCTAAACTGGTGAACCTAGGTGAAGGATACATAGGTGTTCATTGTACTATTCTTTCAAGTTTTCTGTAGATTGGATATTTTCCAAAATAAAAATTGAGAGAAAAATAATTACCGGACTCAAAATAAAAGCAGATATTGGCAAAATCAACTTTTATAAATGAGTAAGCTAACTCCCCATATCAACACATTAAAATTACTGTCTAAAAATAAGTATCATTTACTTAGTACATATTGCACATTCTCCCAATATGTTTTAAACCTAGATCTAGGAAATAACTTTTAGACATAAATTTCAGAAATTCCAATAGTAGCAAAATGCTATAATGGTTTCCTAGTGCTTTGGATTATTGGATTCAAAACCAGAAAAAAATTATTCTATTAAAATAACGATGACATATAAACAAATATACACTTATGAATTCTTCCAGCTACAGTCCTCAGTTGATTTTAGAGTATTCCAGATACTTAGCATTTTACTAAGTTATTCCACAAATATGATCCAATAAACCAAGAACAAGTGTTTCATCTTATTAAAAATACTGTATTATCACAAACATCATTAAAAACATCAAAATTAGTCATTGCTTTCATTTTAATAATGATATTTAAGAAGAAATTATTAGACACACATTTTATTAAATTGTAATTGGAAAAGCTTGCTAAATTATTCAAGAATCCTTGTCACTGTAAAATTCATCACTGTTCTACCATTATAAAAACAATTCTCACAATGTAACTAAATTATATTTTGGAATCTATGGAAGAAAACATCATTCCTTACATATATTTTTAATTCTATAAATTGCATGGCATAAGAAATTATTAAACATTTTAATTTCCCTCTCCTGGGAGAGAAAAAATAGAATTTTACCATCTGCTACCTACAATTAATCCTACCAACTTCTTCCAAAACCTTCATGAATTTGTGAATAGATTTATTTCAGTATTTGAAATTTTGACTCTTAGATTATATAGCAAATCCAATCAGCTCCTCGTCTGTCTATGCTATTTTCGTTATAATTAATATACGATCAATTATACTCGATAAACAAAGTTATTTTCCCCTATTTCCCTTATTCAGACAAATAAAGGCTTAAAAAATTTTAAAATCAGCAGAAAAGTGTGTTTAAGTTTCCTGACAAGCAGTTTCAGAGTTCATCTGGATGTGTCCTGTCAAAATACGCATACATTTCTAAGATATTCCACACAACAGCCCAGCTCATCAGTGCCTGTAGACTGCAGCCTTTCTCTTTTCCCAGAAACACAGATAATTTTATGCAGGAATTTACCAATCTACAAAAATTTACACAATGCTCAGCAATAACCAGTAATTATTGTGGGATAATGTAAGGCGCTTTTGAGGAATATAACTTTGATAGGATAGGGCTTACAAGCTTTACCAATTTATCTTTAGCTGTCTTGTCATCGGTGCTTAAAAGGTTAAGACTTTATTTGTGAAAACATAGAGAGATAGTGGGGAATCATGTTGTCTACAGCTTCATAAATCTTGCTTAAGATCCTTTTCAATTACCATCCATTTCTCCTTTAAAAAGGGACAAAAAAATAGAGGAGTGGAAGCAGGTCAGGGCAGTGTGCGACAATGACAGTGTGATGGGTTTGGGCCCCCCGTGGCGTTTCCATCTGCTATCATTAAGGTGACTACTCAGACATGAACAAATCCCACTTGCTGTGCTGACAGGCAGACTTCAAGAACTATGACAAGGCATTAAGACAGAAAGTCAGAGAGAGAGAGAGAGATGTCATATCTCACAAACAATACTGCCTCACAAAAAAACGCTCCTGAAATTTTATTGGAATTCAAGATTTTAAAAAAAATTCATAAAGAGTGCTACTTGGGCTTCTCAACTCTCCTTTTAAATTAGCTTGCCCCTGGAAAGATTGAGGACAGAGAATAAACACCTTGCTCCTACCTGTATGCTTTACCATAAGAGACCCAAATTTTTTGCTCATTCTTCAGCAAAAGTGGATTCCTAATTTCTTGACCGTGCTCATCAAAAAGTCGGATTGAAGAAAAATTGAGGCCTGATGGATTGATGGGAGATCCTTGAAGCCTTTGATGAATCCTGAGAAGTAACTTGTGGTGGGGGAAAATAATGAAGAAGAAGAAGAAGAAGAAGAAGAAGAAGAAGAAGAAGAAGAAGA